TTCAACCGCCAACGCGGCTTCGAAGAATGCCAACAATGATGATGATAATGTACTCTTCCTTATGACGCTTATCCGCAATTGGTTAAGGGCCTAGAACCGGGCGGCAAGAGTGTACAAAATAAACTTGTCTTGTCTCCTAGGAGATCTTGGCTCATACCCACATGGGGGATTGGCCACGCTGTACCTCATAATAGATCATTTTTTACAACGCTTGCTAAAAGAAAATAAAGAGAAATTAGATAGGAACAATAATAATGTTCCTTTAAAAAAACGTGAAAAATTGCAGAAGAATGCAATGAACTAGAATATATAAAACAAATTAACAAGAATGAGGAAGGGGGAGAAAGAATTGGATATATCTGGCAGTACCACTAGCAGCGTATCCTTCCGGTTGCCTGAATGAATTTATGTAGCGCTGACAGAATAGCACTGCGGCCCACGCCAAACCGACTGGCTCCAAACGGTAATAGGGTGGATGTATTGACTGGCAATCCGAGCATACCAATCGGTCTTTCAAGAATTATTCGGCGCAGTGAGTCGAAGCTTTACGGCGACAGTTTTGCTTCGTTATCTTTTAAAGGGACCATGCAACACTCTTCCGAGCGCATAAACATCGAATGGCTTCACTCAAGGCGTCTGTTATCTCACGAATCGAGTACGACAAATTTATTTTTTATTCCGTCAAGTACGATCGAAGTTGCACATTTGTCGCGCGCTGTGATTGCTATCTTCTCTCGTCCCGACGAACGCACTGGGAGCTAAGCAGGGAGGAATGGTCCGAGGGAAAGAAATTGCGCCGCGCACGCGTATAATGTCAACTTTCTTGAATCTGTGGCGCACATCCACGCTGGGGGATAATCACCTTGAGCACTTTTTTTTTTTGTTTTCTCCGATCGCGCGGTTAACCATCCGTGAGATCAAGAGCGGCATCGTGGCGGCCTCCCACGGCAGGCGCCGTAAGTATGCAGGCTGCGATGCTATAATGAGCCGACAATTTCAGTAGGTGGCGAGATCATTTGGGCATATATATGGCATCATTTCTAGCAAAAAGAGGGATTGATTCGTAGCTGACTTTGATAATTATACGTGAATTCCAGGCCGCTCGTTACACTTTATTGTCTGACCTGCGTGTCCTCGAGATCATCGACTGCTGATCGGCAGCGTTTACCGAACATGCTGAAAAAGTGTTTCAGAGCCCGTTCAAGAACGGTGCTTGCAAACTACGCGAGGGTTGCTCATGTGTGCAAGTGGAATAGCACGAATGCCGCCGTCTTATGCAGGCTTATGTCACGCTATGCACGATTTTTATTTTTTTTAAAGCCTGCTCGTGCTTAGTTAAAAAACAAACAAAGGACATTAGCTACAATTAGCAAAGAGAAAACCGGGCGGGGCAATTGCCTGCAAATTATGCAAGGCTAGATCCGCCGGCTACCTACAACATCCTCAACCTCGGTTGCTCATGTTTCTGGGTGTATTAAAACGAAGCTTAATGCAGAAGTTGCGGTCACAAGAACATGTCAAGATGAAAAAAAAAAAAAGACAAGAAACGTTGGCACGTTTTGGGACCCTTATGATTTTTGTCTGATCATATTGAGTGGGCAAGAAGCCGCAGGTGGTTTGTTTATGTCGCAGGGCGGTGCATACACGGCAGGTAACTACAGTGTAGCTACAGCACACAGTGTATGCATTGCGCACTCGTGTGAACAAACAGGCGTAAACAGAATACGTGCACCGCCTGGGCCAAGCGAGCAATTTTTTTTTCTTGAATATATAGGTTTTTTTACCTGCTATTCACCCTGTATACCCGATATGGTTGTGGTTAGAAGAAGGCGCCTAATTTCTGCAGCCCGGTAGGGAGCACGGCGAGCATATGCCTACAATGCACTTAACCCGTTCAAGCCCTTACCTTTGACGAACCCGGCCACCAGGTTTCACTGCGATGTGTTTTATTTATTTTTTTATAGTAGAGCTCTTATTCTCGAGGTCGGCCGTGCTTCTTAGATGATGCTGATGATGATGATGATGGCCTAAAAAGCATTGAGCTCGCACCGTGCTGGGGGATTGGGGGTACAATTGAAAATTATTTTGAACCCGCACGCACCTTCATTGTCGTCTTCTGCTTCGCTCCCAAGACACGCCAACCCATTTCTCCGGCGTGGGATGCAATGAATGGCATGGGCGAGAGAACGAGTAAAGAGAAAAAAAAAAAAAACTAAGTATGAAGCAAAAAAATCTTGGTTTGGCGAGGGCTTACCGTACTTTTCCTAGCATGACCTTGTATAATGACCATGTTTAATAATGACTGTTACGGTTGAACGTCCCAAAACCATGATATTGTCACCGGGTCGTGACGTGGACGAAGGAAGCAGACTGCATGCAATTACGAGATGAAACTGTTCTTTCGGCCGGACTTGTGGCCCGTAAACTGAAGATAGCGGCGAACAGAGCGTCGGCCGTCGATCTACTGACAAGCGGCGAAGCGCGTCGACATTTACCCCCGTATTCTAGAACGTCCCTCGACTCAACGCTTCACCTTCACTTGAGAAAGCCGATGAAAGCGCCCTCCATAAACACGGCAAGTCACTGCATATCAGCGGTAAAGTGGTGCGATTCTCGAGCAGCGCAGCGTCATTTTCAGCCGAGAAGTGGCGCAGTGCTCAACTCTGTCAAGTGAATGTTGAAAGTCGAGTCGAGGAGCGTTTGTGAATACGGGGGTTATACACTTGACATCGAATATCGTACCGTTATCGCTAGCGGTGACGTAGGTTCCAGAATAATCTGCAATGTTCCCGAAACGGGCGTAATATATCTAATGCCGTCCTGAGGCTTCTCAAACACTGCAGGCGCAGTTTACGCCGAGAATTACTGATAGTGAAATGGGGCGATAAAATATGTATACTTGAGGAGGAAATGTGGCAATATGATTATGGCAGACGCCATATAGTGGAGTGCTTTGTAAATTTCAACCACCTGCGTTTCTTTAACGCGCACCTAAATTTAGGTACACAGCCTTCGAGCACTTTCGCCTCGTCGAACATGCCATGTACAGAATAACACAGCAAGAGGTGGGAAAGAGACAGGCGAGAGGGTGAAAGGCTAGGCAAATCAGGACGAGCTCGATACCCATAAGCTCTGCTGCGACTCTCCAGTGCACTGCAGCCGTGACGCCAGCCAGTCTTGCGCGACTCGGTGCAAGAAGCCCGCATTTTCGGCTCTGATGCACAAACTTTTAACAAGCAAAAACAACTGATAATTTAATACCTACCCTTGCGCGTGTACATCTTCATTTACCCCCCCCCCCACACACACAAACGAAATATGCAGATAAATCGGAGCTATAATTGGGGCACAAATTATGCACAAATTTCAGAGGGCAAGTTAGCTTCATCGCAACAACACCTCATGGTGATGCAAGGAAGCCAACTTGACAAAAATAAAGAAATTTGCTGTCACTCTCTTTAGCTCTTCTTATTTTTTGTTTCCCTTTTGACTCGACAAGCATTCCAAAACGGTGCATCACCCACTGGCAGAGGTGTAGGCAGTAATTTTTTTCAGGGGACAGAGGGGCGAGTACTTTCTTGATCCAAAGTGGGGGCCGGGCAGGCAGATGTGGCCAAGTACCCTATTGTGCTCTGTGTGCCATGTCAAAACAAAATTTTTCCGGGGGACACGGGGCCCTGTGTGTGCACCACAAACTGGCCACTCCACTGCCCACTGGCACCTTTGTAGTGAAACCACAATCCGACTTTCACTTACTTAATTCGCTTATTCCAATCACTCTCGCACCAATTCACTCTATCATTCACATTTAATGTGCGCCGTTTCCGTAAAATGCAGGTTTCATATTTAGCAGGCGCAATCATCGGCAAGGGATGTGTGCTCGCCATGCCTGCTCTCTCGCAATGCCCTGACCTCACCTTTTTCCCCCAGAATTAAATTTGAGAAATTTAAGTGAACAAAAGGCATTTCCTTCTGAAAAGAAATTGTGCGATGTATTGGAAGAATAATGACACAATGTACAAACATTTCAAGTCAGCCTTGGTAGATCAGTAGCTAGGGTGCCTGGCTGATGCCCCGAAGGTCGCAGGTTCGGCCTCGGCAGTCGCACTTCTATGGAGGCGAAATGGTGGAGGCCCGTGTACTGTGCGATGACAGTAGACGTTACAGAACAACAGATGGTCGAAAGTAAGCGACACTAAAAGGTCTAAAAGAAGCTATTTCTGAATTCTCGCAGAAGTATCTGTATACGCACAATTTACCCAGGAATGCGTTCTCTCAGTCATGAGATGTTTCACGCACAATTCAACATTTTACCCTGAAACTCTTGACATTAGCTCAGCACATTCACATCTAGACTCTCAGCAAAGCACTTGTGCGCAATGCAAGCGCATGTACAAAGCTCTGAGACACCTACATGTCACTATATTCTGTCAATTCATTTAATAAAGCAACAATATTTATATTCGAGCTAAAAATGATTTCAAAGAAGCGATTCCTTGGCGATTCAGTACACACACAAAACATGTACTAGTTAACTGATTCTGGCAAAGAAAAAAAAGCAGCATATGTACTGTTGCCAGTTGTAAGTGTTTGAATTTGTTTGCATTGCTGGTTGTATGTGCTACTTATCATGATCTTAATTTCAAATTAAATTTGCAATTTCTTATGGTCCACATTTTTAAAATCACTTGATTGGTTTGCCCTTTAGAAATCGCATAAACTATGGCATGCTGCTTATCGAGATTCTTGTAACCCTCATTTGCGTCTTGTAGGAGGTAACGTCGACACATTCAACTGCCTGCAAGCCGCTCCTGGATAGTTGTAATGTTTACCCATATTACCTATACCTTTAGTGCGCAATTCAGGATTTCATCAAGTCAAGCATAATCTCATTTCAGTACTACAATACTAATTGTGTGTCATCTCTCAAACAGTGAAGTGTAATTGTTAAATCATGTATTAGTATAGCTGAACAACAAAAAGTGACTGCACATACGATATGACATGTAAAAAGGGAATATTTATTTAAACTGCCTCATTGGTGTTGAAATGTTCACTTCTTCACACAAACACATGCTGCCAAAAAGCAGCAGGATGCAGACAGGACCTACATCAAAACCACAGGGGATAATGACAAAAGTGGGTAGGTCAAGCAACCACGCTGCTCAGAATACAAAGAAAAAAAAAAGCTTCTCCATCTGGGCAGCATCCTTGCTCACAACTTCCTTTTGCATCTTGCATCGTCAGCAATGCGGACACCATAAACGATAAAAGTCACAAGAGTTCTTACCACGTCACAACACTATGAACACATTCTAGGCAATTCGACTATACAAATCGAGAAGCACAACCTACTTATGTACTTACAAGAGGTAAAAAGCCTCAATGTAATCTTGGAGGTCAAGAGGAATTGTATGGTGTGTAAATAAATATATACTCTATATGACGCGCGCTCGTACAGCACAGGACATCAGAAGTCGTCAGCAATGCACACATATTTGTGCAGATGCTGCAAATGTGGGGGACAGGCGTTTATGCGAAGCAGGCCTGACCCCAGAAACGTGCCCAGGTCAGCGTGTCTTGCGCCACTCTTATTAAAAGGACACCAAAGAAAAAGGGGTGCCTAGTCGACTGCTTGTTAAAGAGCTCAACGAAACTGCAATTTGAAAATACTGAAACATAGGTCAAAGTGGCAAGAGTCAACTGTGAACTTAGCAGAAGTAAAAATACCTGAAGATGTGAAAATGCATTGACGATAGACAGACATTACCATAATATCAATGGTACTGCAGCACAGCTCACTCAAGATAAAAGTAAGACAAGCTTTGTTCTAACATCTTTTTTTTTTTTCACATGACAATTACGAAGAGATTCTAGACAGAAAATCTGGCAACATGCATGTTGAAATGTAGCAAATTCTTTAGTGTCCCTCTAGAGCTGACACCGGCATGCTTCTTGCAGATGAAACGGCTTTTCATAACGCCTCAAGACATCCGACATTGAAACTAGACAGCCTAATAAGGTGTCTTGCGCTACGCCTTTGTCGAGGGCCTAAGTATTGCTCACAAGGTTGTATGATACCCCACTTGCATTACATCACCATGCATTCAGAAGCTGTTTAAAATTAAGATCATTTTGACACCCATGGTATACACTGGATAAGCAAGACCCCGTGCTAATCCAAACTTTACACGGCACAGTTAAAAAAATACAAGTAGATGGCACAAAGCACTGTGCACTGCATTACGGTACATAGCGGCAATACACGAGGCAGTTAAAGATGTGTCTTTAGACATGAAACACATTACTGAAGGCCGATTCAGAAGCCCCAATAACATTATATTAACAGGAAGCAAGCTTAAGTTACCGTGGCATGACCTTTGTTAGAGATGGCACTGTCTATCAACAAAAACCAATATTAGAAAAGCGCGAGTGTGAATACAACTTGGAGTTCTGCTTTTTTTCTTTTTTTCATTTTTGCCTGACACCAGCACTTTACTCGCAATTACCATTTTAACCAGTGTAAAAATCGAATATTTGAAAATTGCTCCTTATAGATATGAGGCTTGTAAAACTTCGCACATGAGTTTTGGGAGCATCAAAACAGAAAACAATGAGAAAGGTGTACCTATGTGATAGTTGCATGCATTAATGAGAAGAGTTGGCTCATGCCTTCTTATCCATGTTCCCATGAATTTCTCTCAGTGGATGTACTTTTCACCATAATGAATTTTGATAAAGCTATATATATATATATATAATGTCCACAATTTTAAAACCTAATGAAGCATATAATCCCTACATGGATCTACAAAAATATCATTTACATTATGGTCTGTGTATATGGTGTACTTAATATGCTGCTAGCATGAATGAACTTAAGATGCACATCCACACACTAATTGCAATTAAAAGAGATTGCTGAATGCTACAGCTAGTCGCACAGTAAAAGCATGCATCAAAAATGACGCTGATATACAGAGTGTGTGTGTGTGTGTGTGTGTGTGCAGATACGAGTACTTTATCCTCCTGAGCCTATTGCAATGTAGTGACCTTGAAAGTAAAAAAAAAAGTTTTTGATCTACATCATGTTGTTCCCTTCTAACATTTTCACTAAACACAACACAAACAAGATACTCATAGTCAAACTAAAAGGCATATTTACAATAACCGCTAGACACGAAACACACATTGGGACCGGTATAGAAAGAGGGAGTACTATCGATATGCCTCAGCTGATTTCTTGCTGTGCCAAGCATACAAAAAAAAAACTTAATTCGATGGCCGCAACAACAAATACAGGCATGTCTCCACCAGCACTCTCGTTAATGTGTTGCTGCTGCATATTATTAGACGTGTTCCAGGTGCACCGCATTTCACTCAGCCATTGTACGGTGCACATTAGATTAGCTATGACACAGCACACCAACTAAGAAACTACAGGGTACATGTCAAGTTCTCGGTTTCTTGAACGGTCAAAAATTTTGGGCTACCATAAGTTCAGTCTCACAGCTCCTAGTCTGTGAAGCTTTGTTGAATATGTTCGACCACACTCTTTGAGAGTTGTGTATAGGTAGGAGCTGCAATTGGCAATATTTGATGCCATCATGTTAAAGAGTATGAGAAGTTCAGCTGGTAAAGCAGCCCAAAAAATAGTAAGTAGAGGGCTCCGTGCAGAAAAAAAAAACACACGGATGTGGACCTAGGATCCAGGCTGACAGTGGGAGAGCTCTTCGATTTGACAAAGAGTCGGTTGACCTTCATGGGTGACCTTCATCGCAGCAAGGAGAACAAAAAGCCTTTGTTCAGTCTTAGGCAGCTGGTGCCCTTCCTTGGTAGGTGACATCATTCGGGTGACCTCCACCTTGGCATTTCTACAAGAGAGAAAAGACGCTTGCTTGCAAATTTATCCCTAATTTCAAGCAAGTGGAGTAAAAAAACCAATTAAACCTACACTATTTCCAGAAGCACTCACATTATTTCTAAAATGCTCTATGACTTTTGTATAACTTTCTTCTTTGCATCCTGTTCCAAGCTTGTTACAGTATTTAGAGTAACTTCAGTTCTGGAATAGTTCGGACACTCTAGCTTCTCCTTCTAATGGGGCAGTTCCTTTGGTAACCTATTTTATTTATTTACTTATCTGTTAACAGGTTAATACTCCTATCACATGGGCAAAATTATGGCACTGAGAGTCACTTTGGCGAAGCATTGCTACATCAGAACAAGAAGTGCACTCAGGAAATGATCACAATATGGCTGTCCAAGAAAACTGCCCAAGAGTGGGAACAGTAAACCACATTTTTTTAGTATAGCACATCTTAGCACATAACAATACGCCCAATAAGAAAAAAGTACTATTGACTCGACTTTCAATACACTCATGCCTCAATATAACGAAATAGGATATAATGAAACATCGGTTATAGTGAAGAAAGTAAATGAAGAATAGTCTTACAGTATATATAGTGTTAGAAATAGACCTCTATAACAAATTTTCGGATATAACAAACTCATTTTCATGTAAGGTGCAGCTTGTTATAATGAGGTTTAAGTGCACAACTTCATTTTAAAGTTGTTGCTACCAGTGCGTTGAAACGAAAAGAAAATTAAAAATGAGAGAAAAAGAAACGATTTTTCCCTGGAACGAAAACGTAACCGATACGTAATCCATTATTTCATTCCGTAGTCAAACCAGATATTTTTCAATTGTTTTTCAGTTCCCGGGAAAGGACATGGTGATCCTTAACTACCAAGGTTATACCACATGAGCAATAATGCATATTCAAGAACAGAGTAACAGAGCTTATCTCATCCAAGAATTCCAAAGGAAAGACGTGCCAAAATGAGGCAAAAAACAAAAACAGTGGCAACCACAGATGTTTCTATTAACGCAAGTAGATGAGTGCCTGTCCCACTGGCCAGTGTGGTCAGGGCGTTCTCAGCACTGAAGTTAGTTTCGTGAGAACAGTGGTCTTACACAACAGAGAGCACACCCGATCTCATGCTGCTGCTGAGGACATGCTCCATCACTTGACACAACGCATTGAGTCTGCTTGGACAAAATCGAAATTCATTTTTGAGAAAATAAATACCATGAATTAAAAGGGTGATGGTCTGCGCTAAATCTTGAGTTCAAATAAAAACCCATACGAACTGTTGCAAACCATCTTTTTCTCGTTCCAGAGCAGAAAGGTAATGGAACTTTTTGCCATTGTATGAAACAAAACCGAAATGAAAAACATTTTGTTCTGACACCCTGACTGCTACAGAGTCTACACACTTCCAACACAACGAAGCGAGTTTGTCACCAACTTGCCACCAAGTGCATTCGGCATAGAGTGTTAATAAACTTTCCACCCTGACAGCGTGCGAATGACACTGGAGGGGAAACATGTTCACTTAAAGTGCATCTAAGTTTGTCCTTGCGACAGGGGTATAAAAATAGCACACTTACAGCATGTTTGGTCTGCCAAGTCTTCATTGCCAGCTTGTATTTCTCAAATTCATGGCACCAGTTTGAGTATATCTTTCTATAGTCAGTTTCTGTTGGGGTTCCACAGGTCTCTGTAAAGTAAGCACAATGTAAGATGAGTAAATGCTGGCAAACTCCTGAATTCTACCGCACTGCGTCACAGAAGGATTGTTTGGACACGTATACAATAGCAGGCACAACACAGTGTCTGTCCATATACAGCCGACGTCCGATTTCCCGGACCCTCAAGGGACCGCGAAAACATACCGAAAAACTAATGCGAGCGAAAGCACTTTATAATATTTATTTTTCACTGACGGAGAGGGTCGCGGCAGGAGTACAGGGTTCTCATTGCAATTCAGTAAATGCATTGTTTAGGTGGCTCTGAAAAGAGCCAAAATAAAGAAACAAAGGTGGCTCTGAAAAGAGCCAAAATAAAGAAACAAAAGAAAACAATCCTATGTGGCCGGCTACCGGCCACATAGGATTGTGGCCGGTAGCGCCGGCCACATAGGATTGTGGCCGGTAGCGCCGGCCACAATCCTATGGCACTAGGATTGTGGCCGGCGCTACCGGCCACATAGGATTGGATTAGGAGCAAAACATAGGGTTAGGAGCAAAAAAAAGTAGCTTATTTTCATTTGCACAGCGTTCCATCTGCCCACGATGATGTCTGCCTCAATTTCAGTTAATGTCATGCTTTCCCTGTACATCGATGACTGTGCCAGTGCTCGAGTCAACTCCAAGCTCGTTGGCTATATAGGCGCTGCCTTTTCGATCTAGGTGTCAGAGTCGTCGGAATCCTCCGTAACTTGACGTATGATTCAGTCATCGGTTAATTCCACACACAGATCAAGGTCTTTGTCAGAGTCGGCGTAGCCCTCGAGTGTTATCCCTGCTTGAATCGAAACACCGACCCCGTGCAGATCGTCGAAAGTAACGTCCGCAGGTGGAAGTTCGTCGCACACGCTGTTCCCTCAGGGCCTCGGCGTCCAGTATAAAGCTCGCGTTGCGGAACAGTTCCGGAAGGTCTGTTACGTAACCGCCTTCCACGAGTCTGCAAGCATGCTAACGGCAGACCATAGGTCAACAGTGTAGCTTCTCCCACTGTTGGAGCTCAGCACATGCGGCCTAAGCTACAGCTGGCGATGAACTAGCATGCGCTGGATTGTGGCATTTTCTGTTTCGAGGGTACGGCTAGAGTGTACTCTGGTACGGCAGCTGCGATGGCTGCGGCACGATGGGTTCAAGGGTCTAAAAATAACCGAAACGGCGGCCTCGATAGTGACTGAATTCGCGGTTAGTGGTAAGGAGTCCAGAAAATCGGATGGCAAAAATTATAAACGTCCAGAATTTCTGACTTTTTCATACACTGACTCATGGCGAAGTTGACGGTGCCACAGATGAGTCCGGGAATTTAGGCACGTTCAAAATTTCGGGCATCCTGGAAATCGGGCGTCGACTGTACAGTTAAACGTCGTTATAACGAGACGGGCTATAACAAAATAATGGATATAACGAGCAAATCCTAATTCCCCTTGAAAGTCCCCATACAAACCAATGTATTCAAAACCTCATTTTAACGAGGCAAAATTTGCCTGTTATGGGATATAACGAACAAATTTTGTTAGGAAGTAAAATTTTGAGCCGATGTCACGACAGTACACAACGCGAATTTGAGACGGCGCGCAAACGCGAGAACTGTATTTAGCAGTCCAAAACTCCCGCCACGCGCCCTCCCGCAACGCGCGCAAAGCAGACGGCACGCGCTGTTTCTCGAGGAGAGGTCGCTGCACGTGCGCCGCTTGGCTACCACCGACAGCCGAACGCTTCGCAGCTCCGCGAACGTCTTGCCCTTTTCTTTTCTTTTGTGTCTCCTTTATATTCTCCCTCTCCCCTTTCTCGGCGCGCTTCCTAATCTTACATACCCCCTTCCCCTTGAGTAACCGGTTCCTAGAGGGCAGCGCAAAAGAGCGCCCTTTCTGCCCCTTCCTCTTTACAGTCACTTTCTCCGCAAGTGTTGTCGCTCGCCGACGTGAGCCGCGTTGCTTTTGAGTGCGCGTTTCTTCTCTTTTCGACCGCTTCCGCCTTATCTTTTATCCTGCTGCGCTCGTGATTCCAGCAACATGAATGCGCCAGGCGGGAAGCGAAAGCGCATAACGCTAGATCAGAAGGCGGCTATGATAAGAGCCGTCGAATCGGGGACCAAGAAAGGCAACGTGGCAAGAGACTTTGGCGTATCGACGAGCACACTGTCAACCATCTTGAGCAAGCAGGAGTCCATCATCGACGCTGTTGCACGTGGCGTGAAAGGAAGCGCTAAGAAGATGACGGCACCTGCCTTTGAAGCGGTCGAAAGGGCCGTTTTTAAATGGTTCTTGGACACGCAGGCCGTGAATCTGCCGGTGAGCGGCGCCTTGCTGCAAAGAAAAGTGAGAGACTCTGCCTGCATCATGGGCTATGACAACTTCGTAGCAAGTTCGCGTTGGCTCCAACGCTTCAAGAAGCGCAACAACATTGTCGGGAGAGCGGCCTGCGGCGAATCGCAATCTGTCGACGAAGCAGAGACTACCAAGTGGGTGAAAGAAAACATCGTGCGGCTGCTAGAAAAATACAGCGCGGAGGATATTTTCAACGCGGACGAGACCGCTCTCTTTTTCAAGATGTTGCCGCACAAGACGTTTGCCCTCAAAGGCGAGCCGTGCCATGGCGGCAAACAAAGTAAGCTGCGAATCACTGCGCTACTTTGTGCAAACACGACCTGCTCTGAGAAGATGCCAATTTTTGTAAGTGGCAAAAGTGCATCCCCTCGCTGCTTTAAGGGGAAGAGGCAGCTCCCAGTCAAGTACGTAGCCAATCGCAAAGCCTGGATGACCACGGAGATTTTTTCAAAATGGCTTTGTGAATGGGACGAGAAGCTGGCAAAGGCGAACCGCAAGGTGTGCCTTGTTTTAGATAACTGCACCGCCCACCATACCGCTGCCATGCTTCAAAACATCGAGCTGCTGTTCCTTCCTGCCAACTGCACAGCAAAAATACAGCCGCTTGACCAAGGCGTGATTATGTCGCTGAAGGCAGGTTACCGCAAGCGTGTGATAGACAAGCTCCTGCTCAACATGAGGATGAAGCGAGACACCGATGTTGACTTGTACGCTGCGCTCGAAATGCTTCAGGTGGCGTGGATGAGTGTGACGGCGACCACGATCGCAAACTGCTTTCGACACGCCTCATTTGCCGCCACACCAGACGCCAGCGATGAGCCATCAGACGAGCCCACTGTGCCGGACGGTTTTGCCACATCAGACGAAGTCACTGCATCATGGACGGCACTTCGTGACGCCGGTGTCGTGCCTGACAGCGAGTCGTTTTGCGACTATGTGAGTGCGGACTCGGAAATGGTGGCAACGGAACAGCTCCTGGATGACGATATTGTGCGCGCTGTCAGTGATCGTAACGAAACCAGTGACGATGACTCTGTCGACGAACAGGAGACAAACGTGCCGACGGCGTCGGAGGCATTAAACGCGGTGGACATAGTGCGCCGCTACTTCGGCGCTCACGAGGGCGGCGAAGATGGCTTGAACATTGCGGCCGCAGCTGAGCGAGCCATCGTTCGCATCAGGCAGCTAAGTCTGCCTGAAATGCAAGCTGTGTATTTTGAAGTGCATTAAAACAGGTGCATAACTTTTTCCTTTTTATTTGGGAATGCGGTTATTTTGTTGCATACCACCGTGCGGCGGGATGCTATTTCACCCGCTATTTTTTGGGGGTAAGTACAGTGCATAATAGTTGCGGTAAATGCCCGCTACGGCTATAACGAAATATTGGTTATAACGAGCAAATAGCGGCGACCGTCCAATTTTGTTATAACGAGGTTTAACTGTAGTAGAGAGTGGGTCTGGTGAAAAGAACTTAGTGATACTGATACAATCGGCACATGCTACAGTGCATTGTCATTAAACAAAAATATCGGAGATCTTTTCATATTGCTAGGAAAATGGGTTCGTTTTGTATATTACACTTGTTTTTTTTGCTAAAGGAACTACTCCACCTAATATCTGATGTAATACATAAATGAAAAGCGAAATGAATGTATACAAGTTCCATTCACAAGATGTTTGTCATGTGAGTGATAGAAATTGCAAAATTGAAGATTTCGGGATAAAGTTGAACAGATTTTGTCAACACTGAAAGAATAAGTGCTCAACACTGACGAACACAAAAAAAAAGAGCAGACACAGAACACGTGCTACTAACAACTCCTTATTCTGGGTTTTATAGACACATATTCGTCGGATTGCGCACAAACAAGATCACATTGGCAACAGAGCGATCAATAAAATATAACACAGAACACAACTATGTGACAACACCTCCCAAATAACAAGGTGAAAGTTACAGCGGCGCACATTACAGGGAGCCTTGCAGAAGTGTAAATTCAGAAACATGCAATGATGCCGAAGCCTCACTTATGCACGAACTGATGTCCTTTTTGAAAAAGTTCTTTCGAAGAGAGCCGAGCAGAAATGTAATCATTGAATTCATGTGAATCACACACGTGATAACTGAATTCAATTAAAAATTACTTGTCCAAATCACTATTCCCTTCGAATTCAGTTCCAACTTAAAATTCACTACTCGCACAAGCCTAGAATTCACGTTCATTATGCACTGGTGGGCTAGTTGTGAATTTATAGTGATATTTTAACGCAAAACAATAACACACGACAGAAGATAGGACAAAATACTTCTTCCAGTCCTCGACACGCGTTTTTGTTATGTGGAAAAAAAAAAGATGGCTGATTTATTTGTCTAGGAATGGGTATAACACGAAAGTGAAACGTGTGTTTACAAACGCAGGTGAGCGTTCATTGCACACTGTTTCGCCACAAGGGCACAGGAATGAATGCTACAGCAACAAATTGTAATGCAACGTGAAGAACGATAAGCAGCTCCAAACTTGCAGCGCGCACCTCGAGCAGAAAGCACGCATGAAATGAGCATAGAGAGAACGAATGCAGACTAACAACTGTCACAGCTCAGCATCGTACTTCGTGTGTGAGCAGCGCGCTCATGAGACCATGCCTTGTGGAGGCGCGCACGCACCACAACACATAGGATGATGACTTTTAGAGCGCGCCCAACATGCGCCTTTCCCGCCATCTCACTACTGATGACGAAAACGCGTTGAGGTTGCTGAGCTATGAAGACAGTTGAAGGTATATGGTGTATATAAATAAATATAAATATATAAATATAATATAAATATAAATATATATATATAGCTCGCCGTTAGCAAGCTGGACGACGTATGCTTTGTGGCCTAGTGCCTTCGCAGCGCGCACTGCGGAGCGAGTGGTCGTAGGTTTACTGTCCAACAACAAAACTTTTTTGTCACTTTTTTAGCATATATTTTATAACGTCATATCCGTGACGGAAGTACGTCAGCGGTGCGGTGGTGGACCCTGGCATAAAACACTTTAGTGTTTAAAAAGAAAAAAAAAAGACAATCTGGATGTATTTGCGTTCTGAGAAATGTAAGACTAGCCACCATAATATGCAAAGTGCAGAGTTCATTTGCTATGTCAAAGTGATAGCAGGAAGGAAATGACTTCAGAGTAGGTTACCTTGGGAACACTGACTGCCTAAAATTGCACTCCCTAGTCAACTTTTATTTTTATTCCTCCACGCAGCAAAAGCAGTGGAGTTTGCAGTGAGGTTACTAGGCAATCAAAACTTTTTTTTATTTTATAACAAACGCTAAGTGTGCATTAATTATATGAAGGTAACCATTATGTGAGTAGTGTGACGAACTGTTGTAGTCAACTAAGCCTTATCAAGTGTTAGTTAGGACTGAACAGCATCACACCAATGTAGCCTAAGAAGCATGCACAGTGCCTTTAAATACTAAATGGCCACTCATAAGCTACACTCCAATAAAAATACGTCTGCACAAAGTGAACCAACTAAAAGTTAAAAATTCTTTTCGTTTGGTTAAAATTCCCACTGTTGTGCTAAAACATGCAGTAGAAACGGCCAGAGCGGCTATAAGTTGGCAGAAAACAGACTTAGAAAAAGCTTTTTAAATAATTTTCCTGCCAAAATACGGAACTACAAGAAGATTGTAAGCTAAAAGAAGGCTTTATCTACCTTACCGAACAAACTGTAGTGGCGAATGACGTTGAGTCCCAAAAGAAGCTGTTGTGCACATGAATTTGTGGTTTAGAGCGCTACCTTGGCTGACGCAAAGATTTTTCACCGATTTCTCATTAACATTCAGCCCTGGTATTTAGGGAAACGAGAGCGAAATTACCAAAGATAACTTTAGAAGCAATATCTCATAAGTGAGAATTTTAACACAAAACACCATTTTTTGCCACGTATCTCTTCTTAAGGGGGGACGCGGCCTTTGAAAACCGAAAAATCGCGAAAAAGTCAATTTTTGGCAAACCACATATTCGGGCAGTATGTGTCATAAACTACCTTTTCTGTAAATAACAACGTCTAATTCGTCGCGAAACCATTTGAAATAAAGTTTAGAACATGCCGCGGCGGCCCTCGAGCGGCGCGCGAGCGCTCAAAATACCCCAACTTGGCGTGATCGCAGTTTCTCGACCGCTCGACGGAGCGCCGCCATTTTGGTGTTGTTTTGTTTGTGAATTCTTGCTCTTTGTTTCCCCGCCACCTGCGTCGCCGGCGGCAGCGCAGGAGAGGAGCAAGCCGCTCATGATTGGAGGGCTCGCGAGAGCTTTCAAGTTTCCCGCGGCTGAGGCGCGCAGCTGGGATTGAGCAAAGCGCGCACTCCCCAAGGACGCGGGGGAGCCCGCGACTGCCATTGGCTGCTGCGCGCGATGACGTAGCCCTCTTGCGCATAATGCGGCCGATGCGGCCGCTCATCTGCTGCTCCTCCGTCCGGCGTCTTTGTGTTCCGCTCGCTTCCGTGTATCGTTGCAGCCGTTCGCATACTCTTCACGTTTCAACTGTCTTCGAAACGATTTTCAACCGTCTTTACGAGACGATTTTCAACCGTCTATACGAGACCGTTGTTGTGTTCGCTCACGATGCGCCCAACGAAAAAGAAGACGCTACAATCGTTCGGTGCAAGGAAGCGAGCTATGAAGCTTGTCCGCGCGGCGAGGCTCTCCGCTCGCACGTGCGCCGACGGTGATCGCGCCGACGGTACCTGTGGGGCAGCTTCTGCTTCATCTACGCAAGAGAGTGGTCGCATCGACGCGCCTAGCAACGGGACTCCTGCTCCGCCAGTGCAAGAATTTGTCGTTACAAGTGCGCCTGGTGTCTCGTGCTCATCGACAGTGGCTTCCGCATCTTCTCTTTCATCGGTCTCTTTCATGCACTTCTACCCATTTATGAGAGGCTCTCACAGGCTTCTCTTCTGCAACGCTGCCTGGGAGCAAAGACGCAGAATGCATCAGAGTCCTTTCACTCTGTGCTGTGGTCCCTCATGCCCAAAGAGCAGCATGCGTCACTGATTGCTGTGGAGACAGCACTGCATGATGCAGTGCTAAGATACAATGCTTGCTGCTACAGGGCCACCCAAGAGCTAGCTTCATCAGTGGGGCTAACACCTGGCCACCTGGCCATTCAACGGGCAGCCGAGAAAGATTCTCTGCGCTTGAAAAAGGCTAAGAAGCGATGCCTAGAGAAGATGGAAAGGCGGCAAAGAAAGAGAGTGCCAAAGGACACCTCCAGTTATGCTGCAGGTTCATTTTAGAACTGCCTATGTGCTCAAAACTTTCAAACGTCGTTTTCTCAAAATGACTTTTTTGGCTAGTGAGGCTGCTTATTCCAGCCATATCTCTGGAACCACTCATTGGATTTCCATAAGTCTTTTTTTATTATGTACATGAATAAATTTCTGAGGGGGTGACAAGCCCATTTTTTCAATATATTGTGTGTGTTATTTATTATATTTAATCAAAATTTGATTGATGATATCCTAATCACGAACACAAAGTTTGATGGTCTGCTAAAACTTTTCAGCAAGGAAATTCAAAAAAAGGGCTCTGTTACCCCCTGGAGTATCAATCTGGGAATCATCATAGTTAATTTCACAGTTCCAGCACCTTTTGAAAGTTCTCCAGGCCTGGAATAAGAGAACCATGTGCACTACCCTGATATTCTGCTGTAACTTGAAAACCAGTGAACATAACTTGATGAAATTTTGTAGTTCTTCTAATGCTTTTGCTAAAAGTCTATCCTGAAAATTTCATTAAGATATCTCAATAAACAAAAAAGTTGGTATCCGATGGTAGCCTCCCCCCTTAATCAGCAAATGGCCACTCATAAACTACACCTGCACAATGTGAACCAATTAAAAGTTAAAGATTCTCTTCCTTTGGTTAAAATTCACACTGTTGGGTTAAAAACAGCGTATGTGGTGCAACTAAACAATCGTCACATATTGTGCAGTGGGGTCTTCAAAAGCACTTCACCGACAAACCTCGCAAATATAACGCTGCTGTCAAATGCCCACTAACCAGCATCGACGGTAAGGTTGTAGCTGCAGAGAGTGCCAACTGATTCCAAATGGAGATCATAGTGGCCAGAGTCTCTCTCAGTGAGCGACATAAGCACCAAGCCGTGTCCAGTAGTGTGGATGTACTTGTCTCTCTTGGGTGTCACCAGGCGGCGCTCTCTACCGTGTTGATGGTACCACAGAGGCACCTGCAAACAAGCAATGACAAATACATTTACCGCTGCTTTAAATGATGTGAATGCGATAAAGAGACCCGACTTCAGGATGCATCTTCTAGCACATTAAAGGGAGTTCAATGCCCGGAATTATCAAGCAATGCCTCAACAGCTGCAGTGGTTTTCATGGAGGGTACCTACCAGTTGCAAGGGTTTTTCTTAATCAGCTTCCACATAGAAGTTTATTGCTGCACTGATTGCTACCAAACTAAGAATCTGACACAACGATACTGCGTATACCATAAACTTATGAATAAGCGCCCCCGTCCGAGGAAGCACCCTTCTCAATATCACAACTAATTTCAAATTTCCACACTGTTTCGAGAAGCCCCCTCTCCCCCCCCCCCCCCTCTGCAGCCTAATCATGCACCAAGTCCATGCAACATGAACCTGCTGGAATCCCATCCAATATCATGCTTATCAGCCCAATCCCTGAGCATCTGCACCTGAAATTTGTCAGGCAAAGTTTTTTCTCTCTCTCTTTCCTATAACAACCGTTCCAGAACTAGGCGTAAAATCATGGCTTTTAAGATGTAATTACAAGATTATACTTATGATGACGTAGACAACAAAATTAAGGCTTCAGAGATCGATGTTCGCTGCTTAAAAGCTATAGGCCAATCATTAGAAATGCTTCCATCACATACTTCCTGTGGTCTGATAACGATGCAATCGCGTTTCATATGTTTATGAGCTGTCGCAGCAGTGCACTGTATCATGAACAAAAGTGAGACTTCTGAAAAAAAGTCCACATGGTCTCCATGTTCTCGTTTTGTTTTTTTTCCTGGCGGCAAATCTTTGCTGACGACATCTTGAATTTCGGAGTAGTTCCAGGTAAGCACCCTCCTTCCCCTTTGCCGCTAATTATGGCTTCCGAAAGAAGGGGGCAGTTGCTTCAAATTTTATGGTGATCAAGAAGCATTTCATTCCAAGGTGAAAACGAAGGTGCTTGACTATTTCCAAATTTATTTATCACATCAATTCCCTTTAGTAAGCATAAAACAGACATTCAGGTTTGCAAGAAAAGCTTGCAATAAAGGGCACTTTGATAGCAGTATCCTACAGGGGTGGAAACCGCGTTCTTGTTATGTTTATTGCACATGTCCCAGTATACAGAGCATGGCATAAAGTGAGATGACCCTGTCTTAACTGCTGCAGGAATAAATCAGTCATTGCCACAGTTGACACGCCCTAACAATGCCGCAGTACGATTGGCACGTATTGTTTGAATTGTTTTGCATAACACCACCTGTCAATTTTTTAAGGACACCGTGAGGAGACTACATGAGTGCATCGTCGGGGGGAAATGTTCCTCTCTAATTTAGCTTTCCTACGCCATTGCAACAGCACACTATTTTCAATACAAAAGCACACCGATGAAAGGTTACTGATGAAAGGTTCTTTCACATGCTAAAGGAGACCACCTATTCCCAAGTTCAAGTGAGGTAGTGTTGCAGATGAGTTTTCCAGAATCCTGAATTGAGAATGAATTAAGAGATAATTGACAGCCACCCATAACTAGCACGAAACCAGAAGAAAATCTGCAGAGATTTCTTTTTCCAAGAAATGTGCGCAAACTTGTACAAAATCCAGACAAACTCATTTGCAATTTCTGCATCCATGTTCATAGAGTTGTCGATCAATTTGCTTAAACGCTGCCAAATGCTAGCACCCTAGTTAGCTCCATTGGTAGAGCGACCACTGCGGAAAAACATTGGTCCCAAGTTCGATTTTTGGACTAGGACAGATTTTTCAGCAACTATAAGAGGCTTCTTTTCGAATCCGCATAAAGTTCTTAGTGGCATTGTGCTACAAATGGGTGATAGTCAATTATCCTTTCCAGAAGCAGTGTTGTGCAGCAGCAGAAATGCTAACCTTGCTGTGGGCGGTCCCGGGTCCGGTGGTTCCCGCTGGTGGCTCCATGAGCTCTGGATGGTGGCCCTGACAGCTCAGATGGACACTTTCACCCCAGTGGGCATGCAACTGGCGCCGGCGAACACCTGCACCGCACATCACAAACCTTACTTAGAAGACTGTGGTTGCATAGGTACACATATTTCCGCAAAAGGGTTCAAAGAAAAATTGCATCAGATCGGCTTCTATTCACCACTTCTAGTATTTATAACAATACCATACCTGCCCTGCCAACCTAGAGGCACGAAAATTTGGGAGACCACAGCGAACATGAGTGGTTGCAAGAAAAACGAGAGGAGTTTTTTTTTTTTGTATATCAGAAAATTACTGAAACTGAGACACCTGCGGCACACTGTCGCTACTTCCGTTCACAGTGACTGCGAAAGCACAGCGCTTCAGAACGATTGGAACAGTGTTTTCGGTATCTGCAGCCATTTTATCAATGATGTGTCTCCCCCACCCCATTACATCGGCACCCATACCGCTTCACCTTCTCGCAATAAGAAAACATTTTTTGAAACACCAGTCTTGCGTGATCACTTACGCTTAGCGGCAAATTTGTGTTCCACAAGAAATCCCATGAATAGTCATTCTGTGCCGATCGCACAGTCTTTGCAACTCTTTTGGAAGAAACTTCCGATGTTGTCCTGTCATTTACAGCACAAACATAGTTGTGATGCTTCTGAGAAGCGATATGTCAGCCTTGCCGCTGTACGAAACGCTTACATCACAGGCACACCTGGTACAGATTCCGTACTTGCCACCTTTCCCACGAAGTCACAAGGCACAGAAACTCAGTTGTGTACGAGTACAGAAACACTAGCAAGTACTTTGCTTTTGACACCGTCATCGACCTACCAACTGAACTCTGAAAAACAAGCTACCCCCGAAACTATGTAACCAACACAACTAAAGCATAGGCCTAGCATACGAGATGCAGGAGCCAAGACAGACGGACGCAAAAGTAGGATAACCTTTCCCTTGCCTCCTTTGGTATGATGGCGAGCACTTCCGCGGTACTACAGCGTCTAAAATCTAGAATATATTGAGCGGTACTGTACAGTATGGCTACAGTGAACCGGAAGTGTAGTAGCAGGTGTTCTTCCGCAGTACTGCAACTCTCGCAGCAAGAAAGGCTCACATACAAGCGTGATAAAAAAAAACAGACAAACAAACAAAAACACGCCTTTGTTGTGGCGGCCACTTTACGGGAGATCCAAGATAGCATTTGGAGAATATAGGGAGAATAGGTGTAAATTGGCGAATCCCCCGAACAATTCAGGAGATTTGGCAGACATGCAATACTGCAAGGGTTTTGCATCCCAAAGCAACAATAATACGCTTGAGGGATGCCATATTAAAAAGCTCTAAATATTTTGGCCATGTTGTAAACCAAATCTAAATACATGAGCCTCCAGCACTTTCGTCTTCATGAACATTGACAAATTATGCAAGGCTAGATTCACCGGCTACCTACAACATCCTAATCCTAAACCTAATGCATGAAAAATTTGACTGCCGCGGCCGGGCTTCGATTGGGTGACCTTCTGGTCAGCAGTCAGCAGTTGAGCAACATGACCACTAGGCCAACATAGTAGATTATTCGCCACTTCTAAGACTGTGCTTTTCAAAGAGGTGTCTCAAGAATTAAAGAGCCTATTGGTTCTAGTTGCGGACTGCAGAAGAGACTCGATTTAATTGCCGATGGACTGAAAAATTATTCCATTGTAATGGAATTTGAACTAGGGTGTATGTCTGAATATAGCACCCTATATTGTGCATGGTACAGTATTACACAGCATAATTCAGCACTATAGTAGGTCCTGCCACCTATTCTTGGCAGCAGTGTTCTAGAAATTACATATGAATGAAATTCTAAAAAATATTGATGGAAAACTAATCATTATTAATTTGTTTAAAAATCATAATCCATTAGGCTTTATGAGAACCATAAAGTAACTAATCAACCCAAGTACCATTTATGAAACGGTTCGTGATGAATTTTTTTGCTTGCTAACTTTTTATCAATGAAGTTTTATTGGTGCTAACCGGATACACTGCCCTTGTCAGATACTACAACTAGCACATTTTCAGAGGACAAAAAACAGAGTGGGAGGGAAAGGGGTCAATTTATAAATTGATGCAACTTACTTTCTTCACAGATGTCTGGAGTAGCATTGCTTACATCTTGCAGGAAACTGCACAAGTCAAGATAATCATAATGAATACTAAAAAAAAAGTCACAGTTTCACCACAAGGGCAAAGCAATTATAGCGGTTGCAACAAATTAAAATGTTGTTTAAAGTAGGATAGCAGCTAACCTGGATAGCATTAGACCTGGTTTAACTTCCCGAAAATTTGTACTGAATGTGTAAAATTTCTGGTATGATAAATATGACACCGAACCGGCTACACTAATTATATATTGTGACGGTGCGAGATATAGATTTATAGCGCAGCGACAACAGAGAATTGGCAGCAGAACAAGATGGATGAGTTGTCTCTTGGGCAAGCGCTTGAGAAACAGGCGTCTTCGTCATCTTCGTAAAGTGCCACACTTGCTTATGTCGATGATGCACCGTAACAATATTCTTAGTTTGGCAAGCCTCGTAGCTAACGCAGTCATATCCTGGAGTAGTGACTAATCAGCAAAGATTTTCGTGCCTTAAAAACCTCATTGCAGTTTACTTGTAAGAATTCTTTTCTGTTTCATGAGTCAGGCTTGTTACCGTTCTGTGAACATGAGCTGTTGAAGAGTAAAGTGAGACGTGAAACTGCACCGAACTTTAAAGTATGAGCACGTAAAGAAAATTGTATACAATGTAGAAAAGGACACAGCCGTGTGCTCATCCACCAAGGACTACATATCTACACACAATTTGCAAGTTAACAAAATTAAATAAAGACAAAACTAAGTACTCTATGTTATGCAGCAAAGTGATTAAATAAATGTTCATCTTGTGCAAAGTATATATGGTGATACCTGGTGTACTTATTTGTACCTGGTGGTACATATAGCTCCACTGTGCATTTTGTTTTGTCCAATTCTGTAACTTTAGAGCAAGCATAGATGTTTGAAACTGGTGGAACTTCTCCAAAACTAATATAGCTGTCTCCAATATTGGGCCCAAAGCCTGCACATAAAGTCTTGATATTTTTACTACGTAGATATAGTTATACATGCAAAAGCAGTTGCTTTGCTCAACCTAGCTGAAATTTTCAAGCTCTAGCTGACATACCAATATAGTAGTAGACACTCTAAATGAAACCTGAAGGGACTTGGAAGATATGTTGCATTTAACAGGAGTTCTGTTAACAGAGAGATCAACAGTGGTGCAGAATACAAGTACGAAACCAATCATATGAGAGACTGTTGTCCCACTTAAGGAGCAGTTTCACTTAACAACTTTTATTTACTGCGAGTCTACTGCATTACAAGGAAAATGTGGAGCTGGCACAGTATGTACGTTGCGCCTCAGAAGCCCAGTTAAAGAGACATGGTACTCGCACAAAGTGACCTCTGAGATACACGGCACATCATAATCCAAGCGTGAACTTTATCTAAGAGTGGAACACTAAAAAAACAAAGAAGCACAAAGCATTTTAATAATCATAATAAAGTATACATTCAGGCCTGACTACATGTATGCGTTGCAGTGTGTCAGTGTGAGGGTTTCCGACACAGCACCGCACCCTCTGAAGAGAATGGGCGTGCAGCTTCACGAAGTCGCGTGCCACACCCTCTTCCTACGAAGAATAAGGAGAGGGTGCCACGTCAGAAACCCACGAGCTGACACGCTGTGACATGCAAATGTGGTCAGCCCTTTATACATTCTTGGTTTTCATCTTTACTTGATTTTGACTCACTGTGGTTCGCGGTCAGGCCAATCTCAACAAAACAACCCGGCCAAAGTCGTCCATTGATGGGCTCTGTTGGACAAGTTATTCCGTGGTCGACTCAAGTGAATTTTTTTTACTGCATTATCAGACAACTATAAAAAAGCAAGTGAACTTTTTTTTTTTACATGAGCTTTGCTTTCTTTAGTTTCGTACCACAAAGGGTTATATCACCCGTCATTTTAAACATAGATACATACAATATTGTGAAATGCTTTTCGAGTAAATTCTTCGAAACCAAAGTATAAAAGAAGCTGGAATTTAGAGGTCGACTGCGCGTATCATACCCTGTCACATAGGAGCGGCACTCATGATGATCCCTGTCCCAACCGCAATAGGGATCCTCGAACGCAGCGCAGGCAGCTCAGGTGTCGGCCACGACACAGGTCCAGGCGCACCTGCCGGACGCCATCGTCCGAACCCAGGTACACTGACTTGTGCTGCAAAGAAGAGCCCCATCTTCAAAATGTAGGAGTGACACTTATTCTATTGACCCAACTGAACTTCAATGTTCATTTCAAATCTGTTCCTGCTTGGTCGCACAGTGTGTCATTCTGGTGCACACAATAAAATTTAGTTTTCAAAATTTTCAGTGTAACAGGCATTTTGTGTTTGTTATATCCCAAATGCACTGACACCCCAAATTTTTTCTGACAATCTATATTACTGGCCACATCTCCTGTCGTTATCTAAGCCTCTAGATATGTTTGAGTCGGGAGATTTTATGGATGAATACAACTTCTGAAGTTCGGAAAGGCCCTGCCCAGATGACTGAACTGCAGCAGCCAATCATCTCTACGAGTAGAGAAAATAATCCTACTCGTGCAGAGAGCAATGTTTTTCAAAGGCTGTCAATGCAGGCTCGTGTGCATATGCATTTGAAGAGAAAACGCTGCGGACTTATAAAGTTGTGCCCCACTAGAGTGCCTAAAGCTATGTCGTGTGCCCAAGTGACCTGCATGAACGTGGGTGATAAAATGACTACTCTGCCAAAATCGGGATTACGGTCACCATGTGTTAACTGACTCCACTAGGTAGGACAACTTAAAAAGTTGCAACATCATATTTGCCACTGCATTTATTGCATACAGCACTGCAAATAGTAGGACACTAGCTGCACACTAGTGACTCATCAAGAAGGAACTAAGACGCTGGGCTTACAATGCAATGATAAGGTTTCAGATTTATGCTGAGGCATCGGATGTTCCACCAAAACCCTCACCTCACTAGAGATGTCAATGGTGCGAACGGGCTCCCCAGGGCTCGCTTCAATTACGTCAACCAGGTTGGAGAAGGATTGTCCCGAGCGGTCTTTCCACTCCACGATCTTGTACACCAATCCATCACCTGGAGTCAAGAACAAAATGCAAGGCACACTGATGTTTTCTGCTTACTTCTCTTTACAGTTCCAGCCAATGAACGAAAGAAACTGTCGCTAGTTGTTTTTTCAATGACCAAACATGACCACAATGATACATAAAGCCATATGGGCAATGTCCTGAGCATCATAATTTAAAAGAAATTGTTGCACAACTCAATAAAAGTTATTGCTTTAATGTGCACAGTAATCTTGAAATGTAAAATGACACAGAGTATTCTTCAGCTGTTTGTACGCAGAAAAAGCCTTCACTCGCTCAACATGTTTCTCAGGTGCAAAGCCCCACACGACATATCCTGGTTGACCTAGTATTGATGCCTAATTAAAGAACTATGCACAAATGAACTATAGGCAGTCAAGGCATGAAACTATTGTGCAGTGTCAAGTGTGTTGACTTATGCAGTCAGTTCATTTAGGTTTCGCTGTGCAGTCCTAACCTGCCCTTCCAGGCGTTCTCACATTGCCGTAGGTCAGCTGAGAGTTTTATATGTACTTGTAAGCAACTGAAAATATAAAACAGGGGATTACAAAACAACCAGCAAGCCAAATAATGCAGAGATTGAAAAAGAAAACAATAGTATAAAGCATGAAAGAAAACAGTGCTGAAAGTCATTCGCAGTGTCATGTGCCTGTTTCTTAGGATAGCTTTAAATTAAAAAAGCCAATAAATGTTTTACTTAACATCATATTCTTACTAATCGTATTCATTTATCTTGCAGCGTAGATGAAAGCACATGTTTTGTACATTGTTTTTTTCTAGTTTATAACTACCTCACAACTTGCCTAATGCCCAGCTTTAAGTATTGATGTTGAAAAAATAGTATCCCACAAGAAAATGTGAACGGCGCTAACGCAGGAGCTGCGGTGAGTGCTGGATGATTTGTTTGAAGCGATGGCTGGCATAGGTCTTGTAGGTGACACGTAAAGACACGTTTCAACGCGTACCTTAAGCGCGTGTCAGCTTTATTGCACGTGAACCGATGAGTCGATGGTGTAGCGAGAGCGGCAGTCGCGGCAGCTGTTGCGGGCGAACGGACGAGCTGCGCTCGCTGCGGTTGCCGCAGCGAGCGCGCGGCAGGCGAGGAAGGGAGTGACGTAAGCGGGCACTGCGGGGGGAGTGCAACGTCAACGGGCAACAGTGGTGTGACCTACTTGGCACCGTGCCAACACCTGCGGCGAGCGGCGCATCCGCACGGAGGGACAGCGTTACAGAGGCTAGTCAAACAACTGCTTCACATCTAAAAAGTGATGAGCAGGTACGATTGCAACTCATCCACTTACGAGTGCCAGCGAAGTAGACGAGGTAGTCAACACCATCCACATCCACCTTGTGCACAGCAAGCGAGAGGAACACGACATTCTCACGGTAGAAAACAGGTCTTCCACCGGACTCCGGCACAGCCGAGTCCATGAGAGTGTGGGTGCGGAGAAAATTGAGCACGGCATCGGGCAGCGTCTTGGTGCTGTTGACGCATCGTCCCGGACGTGGCTCAGGCACCTGACTTGTCAGCACGGGAAGCCAGGCAGATGATGATGTCTTCTGCTCCTTGAACTTACCCCCAAAAGCACCCTGTATGTCACTCAACCGAAACGAGCACACAGCCGAGCCATGCGGACCTCCGTGACTGCACAAGAGAAGATAGAGCGCAACTGAAGCTGTGAATACACAGAAAAAATGGGATTGTGGACAGAGGTATCCTTACATAAGCAGAAGGTAAGGCAATAAAAAAAATCTAACATTAACGATGGCAGCCCAACTAAGGCATGAAGACTGCCCTATTAACCTTCTACAAAAATCATGCAATCCCTGCTTTTCTGCAATTTCGTAGGACAATTCATGTGTATAGGTGTGTGTGCATAGGTTAAACGTCTACCAGGCCCAACAAAAACAGACCAAATACACAAGCAAACTTCACATTTTTCATCCTATCATGCCTTCAAGCAAGTACAACCTGAAAAAATGTGATCTATATTATAACGATTGTGATATCATTCGATGAAAAAGCTTCGAACATGTACTACTATTCATATAAGCCATAGCATAAAACTTTTAAATTCTCAAAAGTAAGAAGATATATGTGCTACATCATTTAGCAATTAAGCATCCCTCAATAAAAATACAAGATACCCAAGATTTTTATATAGTTGGACTCTGTTTCTCATTCAGAAATGAACTACTGCAGCTTCTCTAAAAAAAGTCACTAAAGCTGCTCCTGTCAACAAGTCTAAATCTATGGGCACTTTTAAAAGTGCTCCAAAACAAAGGTTAGTAGTAAGCTGAATTTACTTGCACACTTGTTCACATTATGCAAATCAATACTCACAGTGACGTTGTAAAGACAGCGTAGACATTGCTGTCATCGTCAGGGAACTTGTAAACAGCCTCTGCAAAGTAAGTACCAGAAGACAGCAATTCACCAGCTGCAACCTCACCAAGTTGCACCCAACGTGATACTGTACCAACTAAAATGCTTAACAAGAGATTTAACCTTGAACGAGTTGATGTTGTCACGATGTCTGAGAACATGTAGTTTTAAAGCACAATAAGGCGGGACCACAATCATCAAAACCCCAAAGCACGCTCAATAATCTCGTATTGCACTAGAGGTGGTGGAGCACCATGTAAAGCCAGCTTGTTCTGTGAGCCACTTAATAATTGTTGCGATTTAATGTCCCGAAACCACCACATAGATATGAGAAGCGCCGTAGTGGAGGGCTCCAAAAATTTCAACGACTTGGGGTTCTTTATTGTGCACCTGAACCTAAGTACACAAGCCTTGAGCGTTTCCACCTCCATCAAAAATGAAGTCACCATAGCAGTGTTCTGCGAACCAGCTTACTATTAGCATGGCTGCCCAAAATAAAATGTGCAGTTATTTCACTTTCTGCCTGCATTCTCCTGACATCAAGACTATACCTGTAATAAGTTTTGTCAATATGCTCTTAACACATGCGTAACATTTTTTAGTCACTGTATGTACTTCGAAGTCATACCTCTTCAGTACAACAGCCCATAACTGGTATGCTTGATTCAGCCCAGCTAAATGTAGAAATGACCACAGTTGCATATAGTACTTGATATGTGTATTTCCAGAAACATATGTTATTCTCTTCCTATAAGCAGGCACAATGACCATAAAAAATGCTATTCAAAACAAGCAGCAAAAAAGAATATTATGGTGGCATTTGCTACAGTGCAACTACTACTGTGCATACCCAAGCTTGCCTTACAACTGCTATCACTAAGATTCAGTAGTGCACACATACAATATACTACATAATTCTGTCATTTCGAGACAGAAGTACACAGACTCCCAACTTACACTGCGTGTCCAGCATCGTTGGCACAGTATCAAACATTGTGCTGTCTGTGGTGAAGCCAACACGAATGCAGTGATGCAAAACTGAAAACTCGGAACATATGACAACCCAAGCTCTGACTAAGTATACCTCTCAGACAGTTTAACAGTCAGAACAAGCTTAGAACACCAACACATCAAAAGCATATGGTCTTACTTCAGCAGAAAATTGGAAGTACAGTCGAAAACAGGCTGAAAAATAAAAGGAAATTGCGAGACTGCATGAGCAAAAGTCATCAAGGCCAGAACACTACGGTAGCGAAGGTTGAGCGAGTGCTGCATGAATACTCACGAATTTCGTTGAAGTAGAAAGGATATTCCCCAGGAAGTGAGCAGTTCAACCTCGCTTTGAGGAAGGTTGCCCAGTTGTGGGTTAAAATATTTTTCCCGCCTGTGTCTTTCTGTAAGATGAAAAGTGCAAGTAAAATAAAAGAAGAAGAAATATATTACCAACTACAGTCAAACCCTCATAAATTGAACACATATGTAATGAATTATTGCTTATAATAAACAAACATAAAATCCCCCTGAAACACTTTCTATATGTAAAACATTTCATAGAGTGAATTACCAAAGAATAGAAGATCTTTGATCCTCTTCAGATTTGATCGGGTTCAACTATAAACAAGATGAGTGGCCAACAGCGTAACCTCTTGGCATGAATAAATGCTTTAAAATCTAGCTGCGATGTACCTTAATAGTGCGCTTACAAATGCAAAACAGTGTTTTGTGATGTGCTAACTTTTTTTCGTTCTTATCTTTCCCCATGCCAGCAATGCACGACCTTATCATTCTGTGTTTCAAGGTACATGCTATCTGCACACATTGGAGCTTCCAGTACATCGTTGGGCTTCCAGTGTTGTGACACTGTCTGAGCATTTTTTAGGCACACCACTTAGAGAAACTTTTTTGCAAGCGTTTGCCATGCTCTGCAAAAGTTGCGTGGAAGAAAAACAAAAAAACAGAATTTTTGCAATACGTGTAGTAAACAGCAGGAAGACTGCTGCTTAAATTTCGGTTGGCCGATTGTAGTTATGTAACAGGCAGTCAAGATAGTTGCCGAAGACAGTGAACTTGAATATAGATGTGAATGTGCTTTTGCATAGGCAAAGCCGCAGTTCTTAATTACTCAGTCCTGGTAAAAACTTTGGTCATTTTAGCAGGCCACTGGGAGATTCACTAAGACATATTCATTGTTATTAATAGAGCGTGCACACTGGAAAACACAAGTAAAAAATTAAAAAGCAGCGCTCTACGTTTGAATTTTAGTATATATATTAGACTGTACGTATTTGAATCAAGGAGGACTATATTTCAGATGATTTCAATCTCTTTTGCATTAAGTGACCAGTTAGAAAGTTGATGTTGGATGCAGAAAAAGGCCTTTCCACCTTTCTGCCATCATGGTTTACAGAAAACAGGTAAAGTCTGAGATATGATCCGATATGTTACCTTCAAAATGCACTTAATAATTTCTTCAATCACTTTTATTCAGCTAAGCATAAGGCACATTTGCAGCATAAAAATGTAATAAATAAAAATAAAACAATGGTAAGGCTGCACAAAGCCTAGGTAACTTGTCCACAAGCAGTGTAAGACAGTGCCATAAATGTCTATTTTTACAATGCTCTGGAAACATAAAATACCAGAGTGTTCTATTAATGCAGTAAACATTCTCCTTAGCTTGTAGTCAAATAAGCAGCGCCCACCTTACACACACGAGCCACTCGTGAGTAGATTACTTTGCCGCAGTTGATGTACTCAACAGCACTCTCCCGGAAAAAGAAGAACACGTGATCTCCAATGTCGAAGGAACCTACAAAGTTGGGCTCTGCAAGAAAAGGTGATGGAAGAAAGGCATAACAAAATCAAAGGAAGGCACACAGGGACGCTCAGACATGTATGTAAAAGAAAACTTGAGTAACAGCACCCACATTTAAAAAAAGAAAGAAGAAAGCCACATCTACGAGCAAACTCAGCACAAGCATGACTAGTAAAACTCCTCAATGTAAGTGCGCAAATGATGAAACCTTTACAACGAATCAAGTATGGCTGTTCTAAGAAAAGAAGGAGGAGGCTTTGAATGCAGAATGACTTGTTGACAATGAAGCTTAATTTTGAAAGCATGTGGTGCCGTAATCATCTATGGCATGTTCAATAGCAGAAAACAGAGAACTATGAGAGATCGAGTAATAGAAGTTTTTATGTGAACCGAAAGGCTCGGTAACTGTCAGGTTGTGGGTGCTTCCCTGATCGTTATCGGCCGGTCTTGCAATCACCTGACACGTGAAATTAAAAAAGCTGAAGCTATAGCAGAAATGGAAAACGTGTGTGTGAGTTCACCATCAATTGCACTGATGGATAAACAAATGACGTTTCTTGGAATGACACCACGTGCAAGAGGAGTTGTGTTTTTACGCATGTATAAGATGGATGTGAAGGGCATGTAAAAAAGAGTTAGAAGTTTAGCGCCTACCTCTCTCAATGTCTGTGTCGTCTTTTTCTTTTCATATGTACCGTGCTAATACAAGCCAAGTTCATAGATAATCAACCCGCCTGAGCCACAACACTTTTGAACTTTACTACTTGTGTCATCCACGATAAAATCAAGGATCATTCTAGCATCGTTTTATTGCCACAAAGATCAGGGCACAATGAAAACAGCATGCCAGGCTGTTTACATTTCTTTCATAGTTCCTGTACATGCATACAGTGTAGTGTAGGTTGAAGAAAAAATGTTCGATACTACAGTGTCGCAGATAGTTATTAATGGCCGCAACCAAGGTAAGACTGGTCAGACAAAAAATGTAAAAAATTCCACGCATAATTGCCTTCTGGAGTTGCCAAGGTGATATGTAAACTCTGTGTGTTATTGCACTTAGCAGCCATCTATGGAACACTATTTTGGGGCCGTATTGCATTTTCTTTTTTTTTTTCTCTAGCAGTCGTTACTGTTTTATCTTCTCTCTATTCAATGCCTTGGGATGTGTTGCTGCGGCCATGGCCACTCAAGGGAAACGGCGCAGCCTTCTAAAGAGCGTGTTTTAATGGAGAATGCATGATGTGCAAAGTTATGAGAAGCAACTGCAGCGGTGCTACGAGTCATTCAATTGTGGCTTCTCATAAAGAAACCCTAAGGTGAGGTTTTTTTTTTGTTTTTTTCACCTTGTTACTATGTGCTTAATTTAATCTAATGTTGAACAGTTACCATAGTGCCCAAGAACTGTAGTGGGCCACGACACAAGTGGAAAGCTGTGAGGACCTTGAAGACGTCTCATTCCACAGACGCCTCACGAATGACCAATTTTGGGATGCCTGCTTATAGATAAGTTTCTGCAAAAGTATGACAATGAAGGCAGCAGAGGGCTGCCATACTTAAGAGTCATCATCTGTTTATATTTATTTAATGCAGTGGCTGGGGTTGAAGTCCAAGATGCTGTAGCCAACAACCATGCCAACAATATCAACATCTTTGTACAACGTGCCAGCAGCATTCTTCCTTTTCTGACAGCCGCTGCCATTCAAAAGCAAAACCCGATTCAAAATAGCAGTGTCACAGCCCAAGCAACAAAGTTATCTACCACTGACACCCGAACATTACAGACAAAGAAAGTGAACTCAGACGAATGCCGTCTTATGTAGACAGGGTGTCTAGAGTGGGCATGGGCCCGCACACTTGTGTGTTAGAAAGATCACCCTATAACACAAGAACCCCACAGATAATTTGATTTAATGAGCTTCAATGCAAATGTGGAGACTCACAGAAAATGCTGCATAATTATATGAAGATAACCGAGACCTGCACGCTATAATGAAGGTTAAAAAGGCAATGTGACAAATTTGCTGAATTTCTCCAGGCACAAGTTCAAATAAAGACAGCTATTGCAAGAGAGTTGAGTACGAGTAATACTTTGCCATTAAACTATGATGGCGATCATACCTCCATCCACTTTAAAGGGTACATATGTGCATTCAAACGTGGGAGTGTCAGTCAGGGCCGCCAGTACCCATTACGGCGAGTGTGGAACACACTTTTTTTGCCTGCTTGGTGTCGCTTAGCACATGATTTTACTACGAGCTGGCAGCTGACCAATAATCCCTCGCATACAACCTGAAGGCATCAAGCCAAGCAGTACGAGACCCTCACTATGAATAAAAGAAATAAGTGTGAACTGAAGGACTTGTTTCTCGAAGAAAACGTTTCTCGTACCACTCTCTTTTCTCCTATGGACTCTCTTGACGAATTTACCATGTGAACTTGTATGACCATTTAGACTCTTTATACGTTTCACTGGGTTAATGAGGACTGCATCTGTTTTTGGTGGGGCTGACACTTCTTAGTTTACCTTTTATTGACTCTGGTGTTCTCATTGCATTGTTTTGTGTGTGTGTGTGCGCGCGCGGTGTGTGTGCGTGCATGCATGCGTGTGTGCATGTGTGTGCGTGCATGCGTGTGTGTGAGCAAACATAATTTCATTTTTTCTGAAGATCAAACACTCAGCTCCTTCACTTGTTCGAGAACAGGATTTCAGATCGAATTCAACTTGCTTTGTTATCCGAGCCCATCACAACGTGAAGCAGTTTGTTGCAGCACAGCTTCCAAATGCTACAACGGAATCCTCACTGCTGAGATGTCTAATTAATAACTATCACAAACTTCAGAGCCCTTCTTCCGATCACGGCAGACACTGGTTTACCAGAAAACACTGCGAAGAAAAACAACACAAACTTCCTGAAAGTGCATACTTACTGTCAAGCCACATGGAGTCATACTTGAGCGTGCGCATGAAGAACTCGCTTTGTTCGTGAGTTGTCCTGTTGAACAGCGCCGATCGAAAAATCACAGTGTCAGCCTTGGTAAATTCGGCGACCGTCCCACTGTACAATCCTGGCATGTCCCCAGGGTTTCCATGTTCTGCATATGACGTGGATAGAATCATTTGAAATAATTACAAACAGCTGAAACTTCCACAGATACATTAAAGAAGCATCATCACACCCAATGTAAGTGACAACCAAAATGTAATAAAACGTGCAGCCAATGTTTGAAAAGTGAAGTTGGCACTACAAACAAATTGCTGTCCAGAAAAATTAAATTGCGAGCTTTGACAATGGCACACTCTAGGGAAGACATCATAAAGGTGGAGATAACAATCATTGTGATCCCTCGGTGTTTTTTCCAATCTGCTTAAAGTCTGACCCATGAGAGTTTTAGCATTCTACCAGTAGCGGAGCAATGCAGGTGATGGCAGGCAAATCGTACTTCAGTGCTCGGCTGAAGAGTTAGTTCATCAGTAAAAATGGCTTTGAGACAATTACCTCAGAATCACTGAAGACTTAACACTGAAACTATATCCATATCTCACAGACTCACATTCAGCAAAGAAGGTTTTGATTAACAGATGTATAATGCATGCATTCATTACTACTACCATATGCCAAGTGACACTGTATTGAATATAGCTGCTGATCAAATAGTGTCAAGAACAACGTAAACCTAAACTAGAAGAACACAAATAGTGGCATACTAGCCTTTCACTGTCCATATTTCAATTACAAAAAATTGTTGTGCACATATCAACACACAGCATTTAATTTCATTCGTTATCAGTTTCCATCAAATAAATATATTAATCATGCCTTGCTCACTTACGGTACTCCCCTACAAAAACTTGTAGGCAAAGTACCTGCTTTATCTCATATTGACGATTTCTTTAAAAATTTTGTTTTATTAACCAAACCCCAAGTTTGTACTTTTACCTATGCCTGAAATTAAAGAACACGATTAGCAGTGGAGACTGCTAGAAATTAGCATTGCTTAATGATATGTGTTATTTCACTCTTAAAAAGGTTTCCTAAATCATTGTCTGAAAACCACAAAAAAAGAAAACACTGTGAATAACTGCTACTAAAGAGTTTGCAATGCCTGACTAATCCTAGAGACATGTTTCACCAATTATGTGTGCCAACAGCAACAACAACAACAAAAGCCTTAAATGAACAAGGTAGCACTTAACTAATTATCTTAACTTAACTAACTAAAGTAAGGCTAGCAGTCAACAGAGTGCTTCAAACATTGCTTCAACTCACCAACCCAAACAGCCGTAGAGTTATCATCTGGATCGAACGGGCATTTTCCTATACCCCGACCAATGTCTCGCAATGTCAGCTGACTTTTCGACACTTCTGTCAGGTTGCTACTCTGTAAGGGACACAAACCACACACACAGTTCTGAGTAAAGAAAGACGTACTCTATTATGAAAAGTGGCCTCATAAAACACGTTACCGAATCGCCAATAATTGGATGTGATAGATGTAGAAAAAAGAAATAAGACGTCCAGCGGGGGCCTAGGCAGTTTACGATTTAGAGAGTGGCACGAAAAAGTCTGTTCTGGAGCACACTTGGAACATGAGGAACTGAGTACTTAGACTTCTGGAGCCCTCCACTGCGGCCTCCCTCATAATCATATTGTGGTTTTGGGATGTTAAATCCCAGATATTATTATTATTATTATTATTATTATTATTATTATTATTATTATTATTATTATTATTATTATTATTATTCAAAAAATGTCTTAGATCATAATTCAACTAGCCTATCAGTCTGAAATTTTCGAGCAGGCTTGAAAGAAAAGAAAATGGAATTTAGGATCACTTGGAGATGATTATGTCTAAATTTTCAGTAAATACTGTTATTAGTGTGCATATTCAGAAGCTTCTGCAATATAAAGAAGGAGACAAGGCCAACAGCCAGAGAGCAGCCATCAAGTTCTCAACACAAGAAAGTGTCACATGCTGGCTTCACTGCACTGCATAAAATATGTGTTGAAGCAAAGCATAAGTGACGAAATGAGCATGAAACATACAGTTTCTGCAAATGACTGAAGTCATCAAAAAATATCCTAACCAAAAAACCAGCTGATGATGAACAAAACCTCGTTGCAAACGAGAACACATTGCTTGCTTTTGACAGCACTGATTGTGCAATCCACTGATCACCATGACACTATGAATGATGCTCTATCATAGTCGACAATTGTTAAAGGCAAGAGCACCAATTATCATTCTCCTTTCACTTCCAAGCACTTCAGGTTGAGCACTTCCTTCCTATGTTCCAAGTATTACAAAAAAGTCTCCTGAAAAATAAAAACTGGTAAAAAAAATTAGTATGAAGTGTGCGGGGTCAGTGATCAATCTGAGCTTCAAAAGGGAGGGATGGCGGTAGGGGTGCATGTTTTTTTTTTTTTTTTTCCTGCATAGCGGCATTGCCATCCTAGGAGTTGCACCTTCACATGCTGAAAATGCAGAAGTAGTTCAGGGGAAGATGAAAGCTTGAAGAGAGGAAAAATTCTTTAACAAGGGTTGTCCCTGACATTTCGACAAGCACACCTGTCTTTTTCAAGGCAGCCTCACAGGTGACAATACTGCGTGACGAAACATTGGCTTCAGCGAATACGTGTTCAAGAATTTTTCACCTCAATATGCTGTCAATGTGCAATAGGTAGGTCCCCGCGCAACTGACACGGTTGGGGAACGAACAGAGCATCCCACAAAGAGGCCATATGGCGGAGGACAACCGACTGGTTAGGAAAAAGAAGTGCAAATGGTTTATCTTATTCGTAGGGGAAAAGGGGGGAGGAGCAAGGGGTTGACGTGAGTGGCCGTACCTCCCCCATAACCCTTCAGATTTCCCGCTGGCTGGGATTCTACAACTGTGTACATGAAGGCCCTTACAGGGTTCAGCTTTTGTGGAGGTCTATAATGTGACACCTTATTGAACAGCGAGAAATCCACGTGGCAGCAACACTCCATGCTTGTAACTGTGTGATTTGCAAAAAAATGTTGGCCATGTTTTGCACGCTCAGAAGCTTAGAATGCAAGGGTTGGGAGGGAATCAGTTGGCAAAATTTGCAAGGTCGGAGCAGCTTTGACCTTTTTTTTTTGTCAATCGATGACAAACATATTTATAGCAGTGTTTTAAAAGCATCACGTCATTTATGCTTTGTGGCTGACGGCAAGGCTAAATTTCTAGTGCGTCAGTTTGCCACCGCGTCACGCCAGTTTCGAAATCAAGACGTGCAATGAGCAAGACACGCGAGCAGTAAGTAGTCCACACCACATTGTGCCAGATGCGCTCTACATGGGCAGATAAGCTTGACAATAGGCATAGCAAAATTTTGCACAGTGTAAAATAAATTTTTGCACGGACGCAACTTAATTTGTGCGAAGATGCCGTTTACAGTGGGCAGTGCCAATGCGCATTGTGCAGTGCCACTTGACCGCAGTCACACATTACGCAGTGATACCGCATACATTATGGTATGCAGAGTGTCTCTCACAAACACACGTGCATGCACGCACATGTGTGCATGTGCAAACATACACACACATTACTTGTTTAGTGTGCTAGTGCCAGTTCCCTAACAAAAGAGAAACTTTTGATGGCACGCTGAACTCTCAACAACAGAGGTACATGCAGCAGCACAGACTGGGTTAGCCTGAATGTTTTGACAAATAGCACACTGCCAGAATGGAGCGAGTGAAGAGTATATTGGCATCATGAAAAAGCTCTAGCTGTGTTTGTTGCCAGGAAAAGACTGTTTTTGGGCAAAAAATGGTTTACTGCCATGTACACAGGTGGCCTTATGAACTATGGCGCAGTTGACAGAAGCTGCACACAAATGTGCGCAGCGAGGCAGAGGAATATGAGATTGTAGCAAAACGGTGCAACTGACGTGATTGGACCGCCATTGCAGAAGACATATGTCGCAATGTAAACATATTGACAGGTGCAAAACATAACGTCATCAGACTGAGCACTTCATCTCCCAAAAAGAACGAAGTTATAACATCACAATGCAGGTAACAGATGTCCTAAAAAATTACATTTTATAGCAAAGAGCACTGCAACAAGCAGAGATGAAGATTTGAAAAGAAAAAGCTTCTTCAACAAATGCACATCGCATTTTACCACTCCACCATAAATGAAGTTGTTTTTTTAAATGAAGTGCACAGACAAAGGTTTCCAAAAAACAATAGCAGCCAACAAGTAGCTCTCGATCATAACTACTGTTTTTATTTTCTAGTTGATAATTTGCATAAATGCTAAGATTCAAGTTCCCCCTTTTACTGAATACCTCTCATTTCCAGTAGATTTTTTAAACTGAAACTTGTCTGCATTGCTGTTAACATCCTAAGAGATATTCACAGGAAGTGTAGCTTGTTATCTTTTCATTTTTATGTGGTGCAGGCCTTGTATACTGCAACACAGCTTCACAATTTAAAGTGGGAGCTAAAAATAACAATATTATGAAATTTAATTTTAAGCTGAAGTGATTTTATTCTCTTAAAAATTTGTAACTCAAGGACCCTATGATCAACTGTCAAAGAGTTACTACTGTTTTATTTACTGGAATATCATTATAATCAGGTTTCATTGAGCTGATTCAACCATATATATACAGTAGAGACCTAACTGGCTCTGTACCATGTTCGTGCAATTATTCAAACCGATTTGTGCTCAGTGAAGCTTAAGAGGCATGTTTTCAATGCTTACATAAATTTCCATGTCCCTTGGATTCTGTGCATTTGTTCCACATATGTAGAGCTTTGTTCCATCTCCAATGGGCTGGATAACCTTGATGTGGTTCCTGCACTCGTAATCCTGAAAGAAGGTTTGTATGAATGTAAACACAATGCTGAGGATAACAGCTAGGAATGCAGCATGTGAACATCAAATACGCTGGTGTAAGTCAAAACTCATGGTCTTTTCAATGTGCCTGAACCGAGTTACTTTAGCAACAAAAAAAAGTAAGGAACACAGCATTAATAACTACTCATTCCAATGAGAGAAATGAGATTCTTCTGGGCTTAAGCTAAAATAATCTGACTGATTTCAATCAACTTTAAATTCCACAGAATTTGGTATTTAATAACATCATTTGCATAAAGCCTTGCTAAAGTGCCTGATCTTCACAAATCCAGATGAAGTTGGTTATTTACTCGCCAAAATAAATCTGTCTTTAACCTATGAATCACTACTGATCACTCTTGTACAGCAGATTATACTTCAATTCCATGGTGGTTGAGCCTTGCAGTTACAGTAGTGCTTTGCATATACTTTTCATGTGTCCTTATGATGTTTTGAAGTGTAAGGTTAACTGCATGAGTCAAGCAATTTATACTTTGTCGTGCAATGCGTTCCATATACAAGTAAGGTAAACCCCTTCCATTCTGTAAATGCACAAGCAAACTTGACAGGCTTACTCAACGCTGTCACAGTTCCAGGCCAAAAGTGTGCACATGGCATAAGACACAGCCGGTAACGATTGGCAAACATCCCACAACAAATGGCCGTCCACCACCACACCTACTCTGCCCTTTATTCCTGAGCAGCCCTCTTTCACTGCATGTCTGTTGCCAAGGCTGAACAGTTCAGTTCCATGTGAATGCAAATCTATTTTCAGCGGGTGTAGAGCTTTCAGAAAGCCCAAAAATGATCTCACCAAAAAACGTTTAAGGGCGAAGTACACCTTAGCCATGTGGCATCACCTTCATAGCCACTAATTTTAACAACATTGTGGATTGGTATATCCCAGATGTAGGCATCCAAAACTACACCATCATCATCATCATCATAAGACTGGCTACGCCCATTGCAGGGCAAAGGCTTCTCTCATGAACCTCCAACCAACCCTGTTTTGTGCTTTCCGTTGCCTCGTTATACCTGCGAACTTTTTAATCTCATCAGCCCACCCAACTTTCCGTCTCTCCTTCCTGCGTTTGCCTTCTCTGGGAATCAAGTTGGTTACTCTTAATGACCAGCGGTTATCCTGCTTACGTGCTACGTGTCCAGCCCATGTATATTTCTTCTTCTTGATTTCAACCATGATATCCTTAGCCCCGTTATTTTCCCTAACCCACTCTGCTCTCTTCTTGTCGTCAAGATTACACCTATCATTTTTCTTTCCGCCACTTGCTGCGTCGTCCTCAATTTACCCTGAACCCTATGAAATTATTTTCATAAGCAGTAAGTGCACAATTTTTTCATAGTGTTTAGCAAATAAATTACGGCAATTAAATAAGGTCAGACTTAATGTTGATCACAGTTTTCGTAAAACGCACTTGAAGAATTTCTTCGCTGATTAAATTAAGGCCCAAAAACATGTGAAAATTCCCGTTTGGTGTAGCTTCATGGCAACGCATAACGCACCCAACAAGATGGTTTCACGGCAGTGTGCATCACCCTGCCATGAAACCACCTTTTCAGGCAGGTTACAGGAGGCATAGTGTACATATTCGTTACATTCAAACACTTATGATACTAGAATTCGAGCCATCGCAAATCTAATTTTCAATCGACCATTCATCAAGCCTAGATTTCACAAAACTTCCAAGCAGATGGTGAGCGTAGTACGTCCGTTATTCACATAAAACAAGCCATGCTCCACACCCATGCTATTTTTTTTTACACAAAGAAACCATGCTGAAGAGCTGTGTTGATACCCACCTCTCGCTTTCCTTTATAAACACAGGTAGAAACAACGTCCTTGTTGGCACTGAGACTCCGGTCCTGCAATGCAATGCAAGCCTCAGTAACAAATATATGCCCTCCATGAACATTGTATTTTGACTCAATAAAATCTAAACATAATACACAGCAAAGTGCACTAACTGTATCCATCATAGAAGAGTGAGAAAAAAACATAGAAGACGTAGGCAACTGCAACTACAGTTCACTAAGCAAAGTTCAGCGATAACACTAATTTGGCTCCGGTAAGCTGATTGTGTGCCGTGGGACAGTACATCCTGCAAAGATGCGCAGCCAAATGCACTGTAGCTCTCCGAAGACCCCTAATTTCGAGCATTTCCTTTGCAACAGGCTGCATATATTTAAGAAAGCAAACAAATTAATGATGCCACGTCACAGTACTGATACACATGTTTATGAGTACTATCAACCCACTGAAGAACCCAATAATAATCAATCCAGACCCCCTCAATATCAGACCACCAAAGAGGCAGTCAGACTGAAATAAAATAGTCTGCTTTGAAATAATATCAAATAGAGAGAGAGGGCAGCACAAAACACAATACTTGTAGAGATAAATTCAAATTAACACCTTTGGTAACAAGCTAATGGAATACGTATTAACATCAGAGCCAAGGAAAAACTATGCAAATGGCAAATAACTCTGCCTAGTATTAAACTTGTCAATAATCGGTAGTCAATAGCATCACGAATAGACAAATATAATTAGAACTCCCACTTCTACGACCAGTAGCTCACTCAATGATTGCGCAGTACAGCAATGTGTTATATTACACGAACATGAGCTGGCACATTGAACCAGGAATTAACAGCTGTGTGCTTACTTGTCTATGACAATTAAATGTAGCACATCAGTAAAGACAAAGGATGCCATTATCTTCCTAAGGTTTACCTATGACATGTACATATATGCTTTTGAGAGGATTGCGAGAAAATCCAGTTGCAAAATAAAAATTAGTAACACACTTACATTGCACTTGGTTCGATTAATATTTGCCAAGCTGAGCCGGAAAACTTTGTCCCTGGAACATAAAAGTTTTATGATATAAGCACAACTTCTTTCTCCATAAGTTTATCGTGTTGAAAACCACTGCTTTAATTTATTGAAAACTTACATGCCACCAACAAAAAGGATCTCGCGTTTGCGGTCCATGTAGAATGTTCGATAGTACAGGCGCCCACATGAAAATTCCCGAGTGTGATCTGCAGGAAACAAGACAAAATATTCTTACAATATGTTACAATATTCTTAAAATATGTTAGTAGTAGTACTATAAGCTGCAGCTTAACATGATGTAGCTTTTTTTTTCAGTTATAATTTGCACACATACAAGTGATAATCACTTTGACAGTATGAATGACAAGTGTTCTCAAGAGTGACCCATGCACATACATGTGGTAAATAAAAACAAGGAATGCCCAATTTCATGTTCAGCCTGATTAACTCTGTTAGATCATGTGCTTACTTTCAAAATGTGCCATGATGCGAGTTCTTCAACAACACAACCACTTTACTGTCATCCACAAGCATCTGAGGTTCCATCCTGCCCTTACACAATTGCTGGAATCCTGAATGCGGTCAGATGCCCTTATTCATACAAAACCATCTTGCATCATGCCTTAGCAGAAGCCGTAAAGGAAGGCAAAAAAGTGGGCACATTGCAAAACACCGACAACATTAAAGAAGCTTGGGAAGAGCAATGGTCAAGCCATGCAGTTGTCACACCACAGCTACCTGACCTCGCATCACAGCGGTAGTCTCTACTTATAGACTTCACCACTATGCCCGAAATCTAAGGGTGCTCTGTATAGCAAGGTAATCGCAGGATGTATAACTGGAATGATCAGCAGTGGCAATGCTTGAAGATATCGTTAAGCCATTGCTCTACTCCGGAATAACGTTTTCCGCAAGGCTAACCAAAACCATGCCAAGATCCTCTGTTCAAGTATTTGCTCCAGGGTGCAGCTCTGCCAGTTGGCGACATCTGACCAAGTGTGGAATGTGGTTTTCCAAAGTAAGGTAAACGCTGCACCATCATCTTTTTGTGCACATGCATTGGTTAATACAAAATTTTGTCCGCGAATATTGTGCACTGTAAAGGGCACAAATACACGGGAATATTTTATATAGGTGACCCGAGTCGCAGATCCACTTTTCTGCAACTGAATAGTCTGCTGCCATGTCTCTAGTACAAAACGCTACCATACTCAAGAACATGCAAGTTAATATGTGCATATGTATTGTCCTAAGTAATGACACACTCTAAATCGGCACCAAAAGGAGTGATGGCTCCCGAGCAATGACAGGACGAATCAACAGTGCATAAATACGCAGCCACGGTGCTCCCGCACACGGGCATCCGTTTTGACTGCCCACAACTACCAACGCGTAAACACCACGCCAAAAGCGTCCCTTCGGAGCGCCGCTCAAGACGAAATCCACTGCCGCTCACCCCTGCGGTGCCTGTGGGCATAAGTGGCGGCAGCGGGCAACAGCAGCAGCACCACCGCAGCCGCCAACAGCAACAGGAGCGGCAACGGGGGCCACCGCCGCGGCCGGGCCATCGGCGTGCCGCTCAACGTCGGCCAGTGGACGGAAGCCGGGGGCCAGCGAGCGGCGGGCCCGAGCGTCGGCGTGCCGGTCGACGCATAGCAGGACGGCGCCGATGACAAGCACTCGACAGCTGAGCCGACCGAGCGCTCACTGCCGCTCCTCTCGGCAGGCGGGGCAGCGCCGCTGCCTCGCTCCTCACTATTTTAGTTTTGTTTTATTTGACTTTCCCTTTAACGACGGCGGCGGCGCAACGGTCGCACTTTCCTGCCTCGGGCTGTCCGTCTCTCTCTTTGGCCCGATCGATGCCACGTGGAGGAGGGTCACCTATACACTCGGCTGTTTCCAGCCCCTCACGCCCCGACGCAGCTCGGCGGCTGGCGTCGCACCTAGACGTGCCGTCGCGCTGGCCGAGCGCCCACGGTCGAATGCGCTTTCGAGCGCATCCCCGGCCGCCGCTATCGGAGCCCCCTCCTCCTCGTGATTTCTCCCGATTTCCCCCCCATCGTCCCGAACGACGCTCTCTCTTACGCCGGCGCACTCCCCCGGGAAAAGAACGACGCAGCCGACACGGGCGTCGCCTCACGGAAGGACCTGTCTGCGCTGTATCAACATACGCGTTGATTGCGCCGCCGTCCCATTTCGGGAGGGCCGAAGAGAGAGAGAGAGAGTGGGTCCGTGAGTTTACCGCCGGAGAGCGGTACCTGCGATCAAACGCGAGGAGCGGACCTCGCAGGAAGCGCAGGTGTACTTTCGAGCTCCTCCTCCTCCTCGGCCACATTTTTCTCTCCCCTTGTCCTCTCCCCATCCTCGCGCTTTCGGTTTCACCTCTCCCGGTGCGTGTTTGCCGAAGCGAGCCATGCGCGTCGTCGGCGCACATCCCATATAATGCACATAGAGCGCAGGCACACAAGTGGCCCTGCAGACATAATTAGCAGCAACGGGCACGGCGCACGCCCGCAAAAACACGCTGGTACGGAACGACGAAAAAAAAAATAAACGACGCGCCGATGCAGACGCAAATAACGCGTTTGCCTTCTGCTTGCCTTTGCGGGCGAGCCCTGTTATCCGCGCACAAAGCGGCCCAGGGTGTGCATCGGTGAAAGGGTTTCACTGTTTGCAGAGCTGGCAAACAGCCCAACAGAATGAGATATGGTACGCAGGGCGGTTCTGGTCATAACAGACCAAATGGTTTTCTCTTCCTTTTTCTTCTTCTTTTCCAAGCGTTTTTGCATGCGCCTGCGCTCATTTCGGTTTTCACGTCGCCTTGCTTTCCTGACCACGTAAGTTGTGCTTGCCTCTCTCTCCCACGTCTGCCCGTCTCTTTTATATTTTGTGGCTTCCTAATGCATCGGCCAAATCGCTGGTCTGTGTTTACTCGCTCGGTCGGGTCCGAATGTCCTCAATTCCAATCTATAACCCCGTACGTCCTTCAGCGCTTCGCGGGGAACGCTTATGCATTCGGGATTACATACGTCGACTCGCACGTAATTTCTTGAGCTCGCAATAAGACGCACTCGCAGGAGATTTTTTCATAAAAGTGTCCATATATGAGAGTTGGTTAAGGTTCATCTTATCTGCCTCGAGAAAGGTACGCGGTATAGGCACGACACACAGGCCATACGTACACTGACGATCTCTATTAAGGAGTACAAAGAGTGTAAATACAAACGACCAAACTGTATGCTTACATTCAAATCGAACCATCTTGAAAGCAGACGAACTCTCAAAGCATCGCGTTTATAGCCCCCTCAGTCACAAATTATGATGCCAGTGTCAGAAACACGTCAAATTCGCGTGGCCTAATTCCAAGGCACTCAGTATTACATTCCAAGAAATAAAATGAGTGAATCTGTTGTTTTTGTGAGTTTCACTAATTAAACTTAATGAGTGTGCAACGATTAAATTATTCTGCTACCCGCCAGCTTCAGTACTTGCATAAAAATAATCAACTGTTAGGCCCGAAATGCATGCAAAGTTTGTCTTTCGGTTGTATTCGTTTCTAACGGGTAAAAAAAATACTTTTCACGTTGGTCCTGGACCACGGCACGTCGAACCATCGTCGAACATGGTAGTGTTTCCAGCAAAAGTGATCCTCTGGAAAAAATACGGTGCACAATGTAATTAAACGGCCGCTAGTTGTCCACTCGGGAAGCCTGCAGGACTGCACACCGAGTTTCAAGCCATTTGATAAAACAGACGGCGTGTGGCGCGCCTTTGAAGTTCACCTCCCCAAATGTGGACGCCGCGACTGAACGGGATAGAACCCATCTATATACGCGCGTGCTCGCTCATCATCCAGCTCGATTTCTCGCAGAGACTCGTCCGCGGACTATGCGCCTCAGACTCACACTACACGAATTGGGCGAACACGAGACCCATTCAATTCGCGTGCATTTCAACTACGGCGCGACGGATGCGCGGCTTCTTTTGCGCAGTTAAACTAGCGCAACAAGGAAGTATCCGCACGTAATTAGCTGCAGATAGAGCATCCTGGTCTAGTTAATGAATCATGTCGTCGCTAGAAAGGTAGAAGACTCTTCGTTGGTCTCTTTTGCCCCGTGTCTTACCCTGCGCTGTAACCAATCGTGAAAGGGATATTCGCTCGCCCACAGATTCATCAAAGCCTGCGCGGCAGGCTAGCGTCCAGTCACGCTTACAGCAGCACCGAAATTCCGTAAAGATGGAGTCAACTGTCACGAGAATTAGTGTGCCGCCCAGCTGTTTAATGGCGAATTTCATTTGCAGAGCAGGAGCACTCAAAAGCACGCTTAAAGTGCTCTCTTCAGCGCCGGCGTGTTTCAGTGCTCGAACAGGTGCAGGAGCACTGTCATCCATTCGTAGAGCGAGAGTGATTTTGCTACGCCGAGAGCAGCCAGGAGCAGTTTGCAGTGCTCTCGACTGAAAAGTAGAGTAGGCGCAGTACGACGAGTCACGTGGTCCTTGAACGTCACAGCCTCCTATATTTTTTTTTTAGCCGGCGAGCGCGGCGGCAATGGTAGCAACCATGTATAGTTTGACACCGCTGTTCTGTACGGATGGCTACGATGAGAGCTGGACGTTTGTCGAATGCGTCATTGGACAAGCATACTAGGTATCAGGATAACGAAGAATATGTGGCTGACCGATTTCACGCGTATTTCGCTGCTGCCCCTCAAAGAATATGCCGGGGCTTGGAATGTTTCAGTCACACGGTCTCCCTACTCGTCACCTGCCCTCCAGGAGCGTGGCGCATTCCAGTGGCAGATTGAGTGGCCCTGCTCTCAGTGCCCTGCCCCTCTGCTCCTGTTCTCTCAACGGAATTCGCCATAAGCCAAGCATTGGTCCGTGCGAAGTGAACAGAAAATCGTCACCATCATCACCCTGAACTGGCAGGCGTTCTCTTCGTCATTTACGTCATCTTCTGCTTCGCTACCGTAACACACGCGCAGCTATGTCCGGCGTAGAATGCGGTAACTCTGATGGACCAGATAACGAATACAGATAGATAGAGAGAGAGAGAGAAAAGAGACAAAACGGCATTTCTCTCACAAACACAATTCTTGGAGAGGTGGGATTCGAACCAGCGATCCCAAAGAGAGCGTCTTGACCACTTGGCCATACAGAAACGCTGGCGGAACACAGCATAGTCTCCTGTAGTATAGTGTATAGCCAGCGGGTGGGAAAAGAGAGAGACGTGGGGAGGAGTTAAAGAAAAATGGGAGTAAATCATAGCGCAGAAACAATGATAGAGACTGAAAGAAAGGCAGAAACAAAGAGAGAAGAGAAGACAGAAAGAAAAAGGAAGCAAGCGACAAATAGAGAGAAAGAATATATAGAAAGAGAAATAAAGAGAAAATGGAATAGATAGAAATAAACAGGCCAAAGAAAAAATGCTATGGAAAGAACAAAGAGAAGAGAAGAACAGAAGGGAAGAGACGCTAGAGAAAACGAAGAAGCTCGTCAAGCTCCGCATTTCTCCTTCGAGCTTGACACTAATAGTGCGAAGCTGCCTTATTTTTTGTTTTCTTTTTTTAACGCGAATCGAATACTGTTTTAACCCGAATAGGCGTATTCCAAATTAGATTCCGATAATGTGCATAGTTAATATGCAAGTAAAAGAACAACGCTACGCAGAGCAAGACACTGATTTGAGAAAGTTCAAAATGCGATCCCATCCCTGAATCGCAGTGAACACAGGGGGATATAATAGCACGCGCAAAAAGTGCAGCGATGAGGCTACAAAATAGAAAAGTATCGGGCACGCCACGGTTTTGCGTCGTTATCACCATCCTTTTCCGTCACTCGTTGAACAATGCACGTTCCGTCCAACGGCCGGTTCGAGTGCCAGTAAGGGTAAAACACGAACAGAAGCTTTCACTTTTCGAGCATTCGTAAGCTTATTAGCAAAACGTATGCCATAGAAAATGTACAGTTTCAGAAGCTTTCTAGTACGTTCCTCCTCACGTTTGTCTGATCACTATACGGTAATGATGCGGAATATTCGTGACGCAAGAGCCACGTACAACCAAAGAAAGCGAAGTTAGCGCTTTCGAAAGCCCAATGTCTTTCAAGGAACATTTAAAATGAAAAATGAGATACACGGGGCAAGAATTGCACCTTCCGCTTAAGCTCTCTGATGTTTGAAAAAAACACCGGTGAACTGAAACACAGGTGAACTGAACAGTCACAGACAGTAATCTTGAAATTGCAATATCTGTCTCAACCCCCACCACTTTCACCCCCTCCTCTTTTTTTTTTTCAAATACGAATGCATAAATGGTCGTTGGGGGGCAAAATCAGGACGCCTGCTGGCGATTGCAGCTGAATTTCAAACAAATAAGGGCACAGCAGGTTGTGGAGATACAGGCTACAATAATTTAAAAATGAAAGCGATAAACCCAGCGCTTCACGAGACGCGCAAAGCATTCCTGGGAGCAGCCACGCTTTGAACGACATAGCTGCCAGTTTAAGGAAGCGCAATTTGGAGATAAGCAGCCCTATTTACCTAAAATTGGCCAGGCGGAGAGCACTCCGGCGTGCAGAGGAAAATTGCCATCATATTGACTCTCCCAGAGAAGAGAGACAGACGCGATAGCACGCCGAGGTCAGACCGGCGGCTCCGTGCCTCGGCATCGAACAAGAGGAGGAGGGCA